TCCCTACAGATTTACAGCTCTCCCCATGCAGACTGCAAGCTCCTTGGTGGTGGAACCAATGGCATCTGGTGGCTGTCCCCTGCTTTCTCAGTAGAAAGAAGCAGGGAGAACTCCAGGTAAGATGAGATAAATCATGGGAGCAAATAGGAAGCCGACTGGCCTGTGATGTGGTTATAGAGGACGGGCGTGGGCCAGAGGAGCTCCCCGGTGGGTGCAGGCACCGGCCGGCTCTACAGGAAGGTCTCGGGGGAAGGTGAGCTCCTGGGAAGGGGCTTGGGCCTGACTTAGAGCTGCGTTTGCACAGCCCTGTGCCACGCCCCTGTCCACACCGCAGACCTGAGAGGACCAGCAGAGACACGGGGTGTAAAGGCCCTCTCTGTCCCGCTACTGCCTGAGAATGGAGGGGCCACAAAGGTGGGGGGGGGGTGCCTGGATTTGGCTCAATAGACAAGGAGGAGCTGGTGAGGGTTCTGGACGGAAGCCTTCGTGTCCTGTCTGTGACTTCCCAGCGACCCTGCTCCTTTGGGGACAGAGAAGGGGAGGGAACCGCCCTCCACTGGCCAGGCTGGGCCCTCCTCAGGCACTGCCTCGCTGCTCAGGTCCCTCCTGTGTGGCCAGCTTCCCTTCCACCGCCGAGCTCCTCCTCCACGCCTCGGCCCCCCACAGGCTGAGCTCCCAGAGGATGAGTCCCGAGGGCTCCGGGCATCTCTCTCTCTAGGCCTCACGACAGGCACGTTTCAGAAACCCCAAGGCCTCCCCCCTGGGGGAGGTGTCAGGCACCTGCCGGCAGCTCTCTGAGGAAAAGAGGCCTCTCATGTCCTTCGCACCGTGTCCCGTGGGACCGAGGTCCTCCGGTGCCCGGGGAGCCGGGCCGGGGCCGTCACGGGGCAGTGGACGGCCCTCAGTCCCAGGTGAGGGCGGGGCCCATCCTCCCCTGTAGCTGCCCCATCCTTGTCCCCCTCTGCCCTTCGGCCTCCTTACCTGCCATCTCGATCCCAGTCGTACACCTCCACCTTGATGGTCCTGTGGACAAAGGTCCGTGGTGGGATGGGCTTGACCCACATCCACGTCACCTGAGGACGGGGCCCTTCTCATGCTCCGGGCCAGGGAGGATGGGGGACATCCACCAGAACACGGGGCCCTTCTCAGGCTCCCGGGCCAGGGAGGGTGGGGGGACAGCCATCAGAAGACGGGGCCTCTCTCATGCTCCCGGGCCGGGGAGGTTGGGGGACATCCACCAGAAGACGGGGCCCTTCTCATGCTCGGGCCAGGGAGGTTGGGGGACATCCACCAGAAGACGGGGCCCTTCTCATGCTCCCGGGCCAGGGAGGATGGGGGACATCCACCAGAAGACGGGGCCTGTCTCATGCTCCTGGCCAGGGAGGATGGGGGGACATCCACCAGAAGACGGGGCCCTTCTCATGCTCCCGGGCCAGGGAGGTTGGGGGGACATCCATCAGAAGACGGGGCCTGTCTCATGCTCCCGGGCCAGGGAGGATGGGGGACATCCACCAGAAGACGGGGCCCTTCTCACACTCTGGGCCTTCAGTGAGAGGCAGCAGCCCGAGACACAAAGGAACTATCTTGAGGCCTTTTCGCAAAACTCTTAGGGACAGAGGCAGCCCCAGAGCTGTGCAGGGACTTCCCCGGATGTCAGTGAGGATATAGAAAAACATCTCAGACTTCAGTTCCCCCTGCCTCTGCATGCTGGCTCGTGGCTCTGGGTGATTCCCACCCCAGATTGGGCACAAGTCCCAGCAGGAAACCGCACAATGAATGTATGAGGGGCGGGGCCGTCGTAGTGGGGGGTGCTGCTCCCCGATCTCAGGCCTAAGCAGGGTGAGCTCTCCTGCAGCAGGGCTCGGGCCGTGGGGGCTGAGTGGTGGGAGGCAGCCTGCGTGCCAGGGAGGGGCCCAGGGCCCGGCTCCGGGTGGCCTGCTGAGCGGTTCCATGCCACGACTGGCTCCTGAGTGAGGGTGTAATTATCTGCACATTTTCGCCCGGCTGCTTTAATTAGTTTGTTTTGACTCCTGTGCATGGGGCTGGGCTCTGGAAGCCCATTTTATTTTTAGCCTGTTTCCATGGCAACAGGTTAGCGGACCAGAGGCAGAGGAGGGAGGTGGAAGGCTGCAGGTTAACTCTTGGTGCCAGTGGTCCTCCAGGGATGCCCAGGGAGGGGGGAGCCGCCGGGGTCCCACTGCAGGGTCAGGGTCTGGGGAGGTCTCCAGCCTTCCGTACTAAGTGGGGCACGCAGAGGCGGCTGCCCGGGCCTGCTTTCCATTAGCATCTCATCATCTCGCCACGCATGGCTGTGGCCCGTCTCCTGGGGTCTCTGAGGACTCAGCCTCGGGGCTCCACAGCCCAGAAGGAGGCGCTGTGTGCCTTCGGATGAGCCTCCGTGGGTGTGGACGGGGCAGGCTGCGGATTCCCTGCTGGGGCAGACACTGCACTGGAATGAAGGAATGCCCACAGGTCCTGCATCCATTGGGTTTCTGTTACTAAAATGCAAAATGAGGGCGGGGGGCACAGAAGCCCACCATTTAAAGGAACCCTGTAAATTCTTGTGAGAAGCAAAAACAATGTCTCTCCGAGGTGAATTATTGTGGGAAGAAAATAAACCAAGCCCCTGGAGGTGGGCGGGTGAGCGGGAAAAAAAAAGAGTGGGAAGAGGCTGGGGTGTGGACTGGGGTGTAGGCTGCTAGCTGGGGGGCCCGGGGCTGTCACTCAACCTCTGTGAGCCATGAGCCAGCGTGTTAAAGCAGGGATAATCATGTTCTCACAGAATAGCTGCAAAGACACGTTGGTGAAACCTGCCTGGCACGCAGTGGGCGCTATAAAAATGCCCCTTCTCTCCCCTGGAGCATGCGGCCATATGCGAGTCATTTTCATATGAAATTTACTTAGATCTGGGACACCCAAACCTGGGTACCTGACCTGCACCTTCTGGTTCCTGGGGTGACAAGGCTGGAAGTGACCTTAGTGGCACCCACGCCTGCCCGCCTGATAGGTCACCAGGAGCTTTTCAGACACACAGGCCCCAGGCCCCGTTCTCGGCAGCTCCGGGCAGGGCACCGGAGGGACTGAGCCAGGACCCTGCCCCACAGTTTCCCAGTCCTTCCCTAGAGCCCTCCAGCTCTGTGGGGGGGGGGTAGGGGGGCCTCAGGGACCCCAGGAAAGAGGGCCTCTCCTCGGATCACTCACACCAGCCTCTCAGGTGAGGGAGCAGTGACAGCCACGTGCTCAGAGGCTGTAGGAGGACCCGGTCATGACCACAGCTTGGACACCCACATATCACTGGGGAGATTTTTTAATAATCGCAGGGCCAGCAGGCCTGACTGAATTAGCCTAGATAGGACTCAGGCACGGGGAGCTTGAGAAGTCCCCTGGCTGATGCTGCTGTTCAGCCAGAGCCCCTGACCTCCCTGGTTTCAACCTGGATTGCACATTGGGTGCCCGAGAGCTTTAGCAACTCCATGCTGATGCCTCAGATGCCCATGCCTCCCCCGCCACCTCCCCGAGACTCAGAATCAAAGGGTCTGGGTGCACCTGGCAGGGGACTTGCTTAAAGCTCCTCTGGGGATTTGAACTTGCAGCTGAGGTGGAGACACTGAGTGTGAGATTCCTGTGCAATCGAGGCTCCAGGGACGGCGCATGCAGCCCAGGGTCCGATTATCTGGGAGGCTGCAAACTCCAGGAGACGGGGAGAAGGAGGTGAGAGAAACGCTGCCCAGGGACAGGGAAGCAGGCACAAGCCGGACACAGCTGTGACTACTCTGCTGACAGCTCTGTCGCTGTCCAGCCCTGGCTGGGCCACCCAAGTCACCTCACATGCCCCCTGAGGGCTGCAGCCTGGGCTCCCGACCCCGTAGCTCAGGTCCAACAAAGGCTCCTGTCGGACCAACTGTGACTTCTGGGGACAGCACCCCAGAGATGTGGGTGTGGGACAAGGAAATGGGCCTCTGCTGCCCACACATGAACATCTGATTTAGCAAAAAGGGCTCCGGACCCGGAGCCCTGGTCTGAGAGATGGAGCAGGTGGGCAGGGAGGACTGCAGCTCTGGTGGCAACCCCAGCTCTCCAGCCAAGAGCTGGGTGGCGCTGCCCAACTGGCTTAGCCTCGGAGACTCTGTTTACGCCTCTGGGGGTTGCTGTGAGAAGTCAGCTACGTCCTCCTCGAGGCAGCACTGGACACCTGTGGTTCTGCAACCCCCAGCCTTTCCCCCAAGCTCCCGTCTCCAAAAAAGCTCCCATTCACACGAAGCCGGCCAGGTTCGCTGCTGCACCCTCAGCCCCGGGACCAGCGCCTCGCACATACGAGGGGACATATGTGGTCTGATTAAATGCCAGACCTGCCCTCTGAGAACTTCTATCCCCTGGTGAGGTGGGCCTCCCTCCTCTGCACCACAGGGGAGGCCCGAGTGAGCGGCTTTCCCCGAGGCAGGCAGCCGGTCAGCAGCAGCGCCAGGCGCGCGCGGGAAGTCCCGGGACGCCTGGGGCTGGACAGAGCTGGGCATGCGTGAGCCTCGGCAGGACAGAGGGTGAGGGACACGGCAGAGACGCCCAGCCTCCCCCGGCTCACCCAGCAGCTCTATCTATAGTCTCCCAGGGGCCGCACAGACCTGCCTCCTAATGAGCCTCTCCCGGCTCCAGGATGTACATCCTGCTACTGCTTACAAGGCCCTGGGCTGACAAGCCCCTGGGGGTTTGCCCTAAACTGACAATCAGAGAGGCTCTAGGGCAGATGAGGAGTGGGGGTGCCCCCTGGGGCAGGCAGCGAGACCGGATGGCGGGGTGCCTCTGTCCGAGGTCAGCCTCTGCAGGTGTGGGGCG